GTTTCAGGTGATGGATGATAGGAACAATGGAGAAGCGGTTTGGGTTCCGGTTAGTGTTCGAGTAGAAGATCATGTCATTGTTCCCGATCTTTGATTATTCCAACATTGACAAGCCTGATGAATTTATAGAGCACTATACGGCAAACATAGCTAATACTCCAATGGACATGTCCAAACCTTTATGGGAATTCCTTGTACTGAATATAAAGACATCAAATGCAGAATCTTTAGGTATTGGGAAACTCCATCATTCACTAGGTGATGGAATGTCTCTTATGTCTCTTCTACTTGCTAGTTCACGAAATATATCAGACCCCAACGCTGTTCTTACTACACCGACTACAAAAAAATATGTTGATCCCAATGATAAGGGTTGGTGGTTGGTTAACAGATTTTGGTTTTTGATCAAAGTCATTTTAATAACTGTTATTGAAATGTTCAAGTCTCTCCTTACACTGTGTTTAATGAGGGATACTAAAACTCCTCTTATGGGTAAATCCGGAGATGAAATTCGATCTAGAAAAATTATCCATCGGATAAAAAGCTTTGATGATGTCAAGTTGGTGAAGAACACAATGGAAATGGTAGATATATAGTATTATTGCCATTTACCGTTCGTTTCATTTTCTTATATTAAGATCCTTATAACGTATGTCTTTTTTTTGTAGAAAGTGAACGATGTACTTCTTGGAATGACACAAGCAGGTCTCTCAAGATACTTGAGTAGAAAATATGGTAATTGCAAATTCCTTCTCTCTCTCCTAGTGTTGTTGACCTTAATATTGATAATTATAATTTTTATCTTATTTTTGAAAAATGAGTGAAAATACAATGGCCTAGCGTAAAAGAACTTGTAATCTAATTGTCTTCTAACAATTATTTTTACATCGATTATTACTAAATTGAGTGTAAACTTGTACTATGTTTTGTAGACATTGAAAACATATTATATATATTTATCAATTATTCTTAATACTCCCAAGTCTCCACTATCTTAAAACCTCAGTGAATATTTTTATTAAGCTTCCAAAATTTTAAATTTTTAAACCACTAACTTTTTCTATCATTAGAAGATTATTGTGATTAACAGAGAAATATACATTATAATTGTAACGCCCGTAGATTAAAAAGTGGATTTTTGGTTGGTGCATCGATCGACATAGGGTGTGTGTCGATCGACACACGTTGTTCGACTTATGAGAAGTCGGATTTTGAGTGTTGCGTCAATCGACACAGGTTAATTTTGAACCGACAGGTTCGGATTTTGATTACTCGGTTTGGCGATTGGTTTAGGAAACCCTAGGGTTCTAATATAAAACCGTGAAGACGCGTTTTGTCTCTTCTTTTGGCCGAAATCAGAAGAGATTTTTAGAGAGAATAGAGTGTTCTTGAGAGGATTGGGTTTGTGAAGGAATCATTGTTGATTTTCCTTGAATTCTCAAATCCTGAAATCTTGTGTTTGTGTGTGAGGTTGTTAGAAAGAGAGGGAATCTTTGCTGTGGCTGATTTCGGGTCTAGGAGGACGAAATCAGAAGGGTGTTAGGCTATGTAGAGCCTGATTCGTGTGTTCTTCGCTGTTCTTATTCCTTTCTTTTACAGAATCAGTTGAGTGCGTGACCATGATTTATCTGGGTTAAGGAATCGATGGAATATGATTGTTTGCTATTGTTTGGATTGGATTTTGTGTGTTTTGTGGATGGATTCGTGCATGAGATTGATGGATCGCTTGGGATTCGAGCCATGAGAGGATAGGCTCGATCCTCACGATCTG